GGAAGGGGTTTGACGCCCCCCTTCCCCCCTCCCGTCGGTGCGCCATGGTACCAGTACTAGCAGTACCACCACAGTTTCAAGTCCAACCCCCTGAGATCCAGAATTTCATAATATGAGAGACCAAGTCATGTGGCGCCATCTATCGCTTGTGCGTGGACTTATTCCTGCGCGCGGCAAATTCAGGTGGGTGATTTCAGTTACGTCTCACGATTGGAGTTTTGAGGATTTTATGTTTCCACAAGGTGTTAACAGGAATTTATGTTTTAGAAAGATCTCGAAAAGCCCGCAATAGTAAAGCTGTTACAATCGTGACTATAAATTTGAGCCGTGGAAACCACAAAACGGATCCTTTTCACGCGATATGATCAAGCAGATGGTGTCCACAGAACTGCCATCTCTAGATTAGAATATTTTCGACCTTTCCATAAGATTTATTTGTATTATTTTCCCCCAGAAAAGATAAAGCTTGGGAATCGCTTATACCCTGAAAATAATGTTATAAATGTTACCACAAAAAAAAAAAAAAAAAAATTGAAATACGTTTTTTTCTATTTGCAAGTAAAAAAAAAAAAAAAACGTTACCGTTACCTTTACCGTTGCCTATTCTTCTAATTCCAAATGGGCAGCCCATTTTTACAGTTTTAAAGCGGCTGTCAGCAAGTAGACTACAGGACGGCAACAACGGCCAAGCCCGCGCCACCAAGTCGGGCGCGCTTTCTAGAGATTTGAGAGATGCACGATAGCCCATGCGCGGTAGATCTGTCGCGCCCATCGAGTGTTCTGCAAAAGTGACGTTGGATTCTTCCGCAATAATTCCAGTAATACATTCGAGATAGTTGCAACACTCTGCTCCAGAAGCGGAGCGTATAGTTACTTATAGTGCGTGGAAGTGCAAGAGAAGAGCTTTGCACCATATTGTAACAAAACCGTCGTGATTGGTGGCCGAGCTACGCGAAATGTATGAAAAGGTAATAAACCACTAGACCCTAACAAGTGAGGCATCGTCCTAAAGAACCATCTCAAGTCGTGATGGACACCGATGGTAATCCAAGCACGGCTCCCGGTCCGCCAGTTCCCGACAGTGTACAATGGGGTTTCGAAGCCGCGTGAAGCATTTAAAGTTACTGTCATGACTTATGAGACAAGGAAAAAAGAAAAGGGGAATAAATGAGTGATTTTCGGTTGCGCGAAAAAAGAAGAAGGAGGAAGAGGTGCGAGAGGGGGTTCGAAGCAATCCGACGAGGCGCGAGATTTGACGGCTGTCTTCTGGGGTTGCGGAGCTCGGGTCGGCTATGTCCCGTCCTCGGAATCGACTCCGCCAGGCTTGAACCGGTCGGCTACGTCGCGTCCTCGCAATCGACTCCGCCCGGCTTGGATCACCGCGCTCGGCATCGCCTTCTTGGTCCGAAGGGCCCCAGCGGGCCGGGCGTCATTATCCGACGATCCGCCCAACGACGATCCACCCGCCCATGTTGACTATGCAGAGTGATGACTATTTTTGTTGACAGTATATATCTTTACTTTTGAATGCTAGGTTTATTTCATTTATCCGACGCTTGATCGTATTCCTGTTTTTTTTTTCTTCTTACAGTAAAGTACGTTTCAGTTGTCCCGGTGGCTCTGGTTCCCATGATTCTCTCTCACCTTCCCTAAAGAACCTGACAGTTACCCTATAAAGCGGTTTTATAATATATCGCGCTGCGATTTAACACCGAGGTGCCCGAAGATGGTGGAAACATCACATCAAATTTTATATTATATAAAAACAATAACTTACCTAAGCAAAAAAAAAGAAAAGATACCTTTTTCTTTTTGTCTATTGTATCCGTTTGCCAACCACGCACCATGGCCTCCGAGATCCCGGAGCGCGCGAACGCTTCTCCGGCCGTCCCATTTGTGCGGAGAGGGCGTAATCGGAAAAGGAGAAGGAGGCGGCGTCTTTCCGCGGGGAGGCGCTCCCAACCCAGTCATCGACAGCATGGTGCGAGACAGAACAGTTCAAGAAAAAGTCTTGTTACGTCGAGTTACTGCAACTTATACTTACAAATTTTTGTGTATTGTGGTAGAACGGTGAACAGCTGCTCTGGGGATGTAGATAGAAAATTTGGGATGCTTATTGTTGTGTTCTGCTTTTATGTTGGCAACACTGTACATACCATAACGTGATCTGGCAACCTATGACTTGCATTAAAAACGCTTTTTCGTTCAACGTTCGAATGGACTAGTCGACCCTTTCTTCGTGTCCTCAGGACACTACATAATGGCGACGAGGGAAGACCGTTGAAGAACCCTGCCGGGCCTGCTACTGCCTGCTGCCGGTGAGCGGACGCCATGCTCAGTTACAGTCCGTCACCACCCCCATTCCTCGCTACGCCGGGACCAGCGTGCGTGCCATGGCGGCAGTGGAAGTTAGCTTTCCTGAACTACTTGGAAGCCGTTGGCGGCGACGACTTCGCGCCAAAACGCAGGAGGGCCATTTTGCTCAATGCGCTGGGCCTGGAAGGACAGCGGATCTACAATAGTGTAGCACCGACTACTCCGGCATCGGTCATCAAAGAAAAAGGAAAGGAAGGAGTCACCGAAGGGCTTGACGAGAAGAACGTATTCGACGAAGCACTGGACGTGTTGGACAACCACTTCTCGACCGCGACGAACGAACTGATGGAAAGACATCGTTTCCGTCAGCGCCGTCAACTGCCGGGAGAAGCCTTCGAAGCCTACGCCGCCGCACTTCGTGAGTTGTCGTCGGACTGCAACTTTGGAGAGGCAGCTGACAAGGCTATACGCGATCAGCTCTTGGAGGGAACAGCGTCGCAGCAGATACGCGAGCACCTGCTTTTCGAGGGAACGAGTCTGACACTAAATCGCGCGGTCGACCTCGGTAGGCACATCGAACAGACTCAGCGAGAGCTGAAGGAGTTTGCTGGAGACCCCGTCGTCCAGCGAGTTGTCGACAAGCCGACGAGTGGGAGCACCGGAAAGGCGTCGACTGCGTCGTGCTACCGTTGCGGCTCGACTGCGCACCGCGCGAATGCGAAGGAATGCCCGGCCAAAGACAAGACATGTCGCAACTGCAACAAGCGGGGGCACTTTGCTGCGGTGTGCAAGACGAAGCGGAGGCAAGAAGGTCGGCAGGAAAATCACGCCGCGAAAGAATCGTCGGCGGCCACGAACTCTGTCACGATTTTGAACCTGGACCCTGACAACATGCGAGAGAAAGGGATCTACGTCGACATCGACGTTGACAGCGTGACATTACGGTTTCTGGTCGACACCGGCTCGTCTGTTTCACTTCTGAGTGAAGATATCTTCCACAAGCACTTCGCTGGCCGCTCGCTGACTGACGCGACGGTGACGCTGCTGGATTATTCCAAAAAGCGCATCCCAGTGAAAGGCTGTTTTTTAACTGACGTGGCCTACAAACACACACGCACGTGTGTTCTGTTTCATGTTGTACAGCATGGCAAGTCACTTCTTGGACTGGATGCCATTCAGAACCTGCAACTGAACATCCACGGCGACACGCTCAGTTGTCTACAAACTGTTGCGCACTCAGCGGAATTGCTGCCAGTGAATTTACGCGGTGAATTCTCACATCTTTTTTCGGGCGAGCTTGGCCTGGCCAAGGGCTTCGTTCATCAAGTCAAGGTGCGTGCATCGGTGAAGCCAGTCGCTGCGAAGCTACGCAGATTGCCCATTACGTTGCGCGAACAGGTGTCTGAAGAGTTGCAACGGTTGGAACGTCTCGACATCATCGAGCGGGTGGATGCAGCGGAATGGACCTCACCCATTGTCGTGGTTCGGAAGAAGGACGGCACAATCCGGTTGTGCGTCGACTTGAGGGAACCGAACAAAGCCATCATCGTGGATGGGTTCCCACTTCCCCATACTGAGGAGCTGCTGCACCAGATGGTGGGTGCTACCAGGTTTTCAAAGCTCGACTTGGCATCTGCGTACCACCAGGTTGAACTGACGCCCGACAGCCGCGAGTTAACAACTTTCGTCACCCACGATGGTCTGTTTAGGTTCAAGCGTGTCTGTTTCGGACTTGCATCAGCGCCGGCTGCCTTCCAAAAGATGATGTCGCTCATCCTGAAGGGATGCAGTGGAGTTCTCTGTTACATCGACGATGTCATCGTGTGGGGGAGGACGACCAGCGAGCACCAAGAAAACCTGAGACGTGTCCTGAGGCGCATTTCCGAGGCTGGACTCCAACTGAATAACAAGGGCGTGTTCGACGTGGACCAGCTTTCTTTCCTCGGACACGTGGTGGGCAAGGAGGGCCTCGCTCCTCTGCATTCGAAGGTGGAGGCCATCGTTCAAGCACCAGTACCGAAGGACGTCTCGGCGTTGCGGTCATTTCTGGGACTCGCAGGCTACTACTCCCGTTTTGTCCCACACTATTCTGATGTGGTCGAGCCTCTCAGGAAACTTCTGCGTCAGAGCCAGGCATTCACTTGGGATGACGCATCGCAGAGAAGCTTTGAGAAGATCAAAGAGGTTCTGTCGTCGGGTCCCGTCATTAAGATGTTCGACCCTAACCTTCCAGTACTTGTGACTACCGATGCATCAGACACTGGCCTTGGAGCTGTCCTTCAGCAACAAGCTGGGCAAGAGCTACACACTGTGGCCTTTGCATCCAGGTCACTGACTTCTACCGAGCGGAGGTACTCTGCTGGGGAAAAGGAGGCGTTGGCGTGTTTGTTTGCTTGTGAACATTGGCACATCTACCTCTGAGGCCGAAGGTTCCTACTTAGAACGGATCACCAGGCGCTTGTGACTCTGTTATCGTCCAGAGGTTCCGGCAGGAGGCCACTACGAATTGCAAGGTGGTCAGCGAGACTTCTTTACTACAATTTTGACATCGTCTATCAGAGAGGCAGCGACAATGCTGTCGCAGATGCGCTGTCCCGACTACCTTTGGTGGCAGCAGCAGAGCCAGAGATGGAGGAAGAAGTTGTGTCTTTAGTGTCATCTTGCATCACCAATGATCAAGTGCAAGTCGCAACGGCCAAGGATTCTACCCTACAGCTAGTGACCAAGTACCTTGAGAAGGGATGGCCGGCAAAGAGGATGCTCACTCAGGAGCTGATGCCTTTCTTCCAGCTTAGGGAAGAATTGTCTATGGTGGATGGCATAGTCTTCAGGGAAGACAAAGTTGTTGTGCCGGATTCGCTGACCTCGGACTTGGTTTCTTTTGCACACGAGGCACACCCTGGCATCGTGAAAACCAAACGAAGACTTCGAGACAAGTTCTGGTGGCCCCGGATGGACAGGCAGGTGGAGTGTGCCGTGCGAAGTTGTCACGTGTGCCAATCAGCCGACAAGTCAGCCAAACCGGTCGTGGCACCACTACGTCCAGTTACTCTCCCGGAAAAGCCCTGGCAGAAGCTGGCTATGGACATCGTGGGCCCGCTGAACCTGACCACCGCAGGTCCTAAGTTTGTCGTCACCCTTGTGGACTACCATTCCAAGTGGCCGGAAGTTTGTTTTGCAAATACAGTTACGTCACAAGCGGTGATAGATTTCTTGCGAGGCGTGTTCAGTCGGGAGGGCTATCCGGAAGAACTCGTAACAGACAACGGGCCACAGTTCAAGTCAAAGCTTTTTGAAGACTTCCTGAACCAAAGAGGAATCAAGCACTGTGTCTCGTCGGTATACTACCCACAGGCCAATGGGTTGGTCGAACGATTCAACAGGAGTCTGAAGGACTTTATTCAAGTTGCAGCTTTGGAAGGACGACCGCTTAAAGAAGCCGTCGTGGACTACTTGGGCGTATATCGGTCTACCCCACACTCAACCACAGGAGTGTCTCCTGCTCAGCTCCTCCACGGTCGTCAACCAAGGACCCGACTTGACATCATGGGCCTTCCGTCAAAGAACTTCTTCCAGGAGCCAGCCACGGCAATGGAACAGTTACGAGCTCGCGTCCAAAGCAAGCAGCGCTCGACGAAGGAGTATACAGATGCAAAAAGAAGTGCCAAAACTCCAAAATTCAAAGAGGGAGATTTCGTACGGGTTCGTAAACCCACAAATGGCGGTAAGGGTGAGCTATCATATTCCCGACCACTGAAAATACAAAAACAGGTGGGTCCAGGCACTTTCCGTTTGGAAGACGGACGCAGCTGGAATGCCTCCAAGCTGGTGGCTGTGCCTGAGGAGTGCGTCACGGAAAGAAGTAAACGGTTGCTACACTTGCTACCCGTTCCTGGAGATCAAGAGCAGTCAGCCAGGAGAACCGTCTCGGACAACCAAGGCGAATACTCCGTTGGGGAGAATCGCGAAGCTTTGGCAACACCATGTCAAGTTTCTGGAGGCGCAGACTTGGTTGACGAACATCGCCTAGCAGCTTCGGAGACGCCAATACAAATTACGATCGGACCAGATTCCATTGAACAACGTCGGGAAGTTTTGACATCGCCGGTACAAGTGTCACAAGATGAATGTCCTGTTGTTGGACTTCGACTGGAAGATTCTGCGGCGCCTACACAGGCCCGAGGAACGACGTGGTCGGACGGACCTTGCAGAGGACCGTCGACAAGAGAACGACGGCGTCCCTCCCGTCTGCAGGACTTTCATATAAATTAGCCATTTTTTGCTTAGTTGTTTCGTTTTTCAGGGGGGGGATGATGTTGTGTTCTGCTTTTATGTTGGCAACACTGTACATACCATAACGTGATCTGGCAACCTATGACTCGCATTAAAAACGCTTTTTCGTTCAACGTTCGAATGGACTAGTCGACCCTTTCTTCGTGTCCTCAGGACACTACACTTATTTAATTATTTAATTTGAGATATTCATCTGGACATCTTGCGGCTAGCGCTACAAGCGCGCCTTTTGATATATGTGATTGCACTCTGTAACACGTAATAAGACAAAACAAAAATTATCTCCGTACATAAAAAGAAATTCGTACTCGCTTAAATAAAAATAATCATGCTGCAATATTTTTTTCTTTTCTTTTTTACCTTCGCAAGTTGTTTGACGTAGCTTTTTGAGCCTCACGAGGTTTGACACTATATAGTGAAGTCCGTGTTCTCGTTCCTTTAATATTTTTAATATTCATTCCGCAATTTTCGAAGGTCGTATTGCGCTGTTTTAAGCAGGGGTCACACTGCTTATGCGTTATACAAAAGACAGTCTGCAGATATCAGTCACCACGATATCCGTGGTTCAAATGCCGCGTGCCAAGTGTCTCCTTGAACTCGTTGCCGTGAGGCATTCGAAGCTCAGATCTCGTGGTGACTCGCGTTTGAATCTCTGTGCACACTGTCTTTTGTAGGATGCACAAAAAGGGTGACCCCGGCTTTGGGGAAAAACGTATGGCGGTGAGGTACAACCACCTCGCGATGAATTCGCCATATTCCTTTATAAACTTCGTGATAATTCCAGGTACTGATTGTAAAGGTTGAGAATTATCTTGTAAACGTATAGTTCTTGGCACATGTACCACAGAACACCTTATCCCGTAATGCACTTTGTGATGTAACTTAACTGATATGCAAACAAACAATGGGATCTCAAGAGAAAGAACTCTGGTTTATTTATAAATTTCAATCTTCTTCCAACGGGGTTTATTTAGTATTCCAACCTAGCATATTTACTGATTGCAAACCTTGATTTTTAAGGTTAAACGCGAAGTACTTTGCAATACAATATGGCTTCAAGCAGTTTCTTTCGATACGCTGCTCTGTCTTTCAGAGTCATGCCTATGTTGACCAAGAACTGCCGTAGAAACTTTTCTATAACAATCCTAGAATTTTTTGTATCATGGTCATCTCACAAATTGCGCGACATGGGAGCTCGCTTGCAACTGCTACACATAAGTTGATTACGATACCCAAAGTAAATACTGTAAGCTTTTCTTATGCCCTTATTAGTTGGACCAATCTGCAGGCCTAGGCAGCTTGTTAAGACAAATCACCCGATCTTCCTTTTCTGCGATCAAACACACGCGGAAAGGACCGAAAAACAAAAATGACAAGCAGAAGTAAACAAAACTATGTGTCACAGTTGAAAAGGAAGGGAAACATTGCGACGGGTTTGGACAAGGCGGGCAAAGTTCTAAATTAGTCACTCTCGCTGCGCACAACCGTAAAAAAAAAAGAAGATAAAAACAGCAATGTCGTCGTTTTTTGCCGTGGTCTGCGAGAAATTGTTTAGGAAAAGTACCCCTCAGGGAGAACCTCTTCACCCCTATTGGGGATGCAAGCACTTGTGCGTACAGATGGTTTACTCCGGCGAGGGTACGCATTGTACAGGCATGTGTATGTGCGTGTTTGTGGTGAGAAGCGATTGTATGATGGCGGCGGTGCCGTCGGGGACGAAAAGGAACGCCGCGCCGCTAGTCCTCTGGAAGAGCATTGGCTGCACACACCGAACCATACAAAAACATATACCCACACACATGCTTCAGCATCTGTTTACTCCCCCACTGAAATTCCTCTCCCAACCCCCGAGCACAATTCCAAAAAACAAGCCGCTAAAAAAAAAAAAAAAACAAAAAAAAAAACGTAATGGACGGTTTGGTTTGCTTTGGCCCCCCTTGTAGACTTGAATGCAAGGCCCGTACCCGCCCCGGGCCCTTCGTGAACGTAGACGTGAAGCCCGAGCCCGGCTCGAGTGCCGGGTTGGCCCGTGGCCCGCGGTCTGGCCCGTACCAGTGCAGATCTCTACCAGTGAGCTGTGTCTGTGTCTCCTTCTGTGTCCGTTGTCCTGTTGCGCTTTTTAATCATTCTGAATCACCAACTCGCCCAACTTTCTACCCTCGTCTACCAGTGACGCTGACGGATCGCCCCTCTGTTATGACTCGGCAGGCAGCACCGCCTCGCGGCGAGCGACAGAGGTAGCGCAATTACGCTCTTCTGCTGGGGAGCGAGACGAATGGGACGGCCGGAGAAGCCTTCGCGCGCGCGCTTCGGGATCTCGGAAGCCATGCGCGCACCCTCTGACTGACGCAGCAACCGACAGATGGCGGCAGCGGGTCCGGCGGCTTGCGGCAGCTCAACAGCAGCGCGATCGCGCCAAATCAGACCACACTTTCGAATTGTAAAAACGTTCGCTTCTTCGGTCCTACTATATTAGTTAGTACATTATTTCTAAAACCGATGGTTCGTCGAGTAGTTTCAGCTACATAACGTCTGCTTTTGGCGCGACCAGGCAACTGCTGAGTTGTCGTAAGCCGTGGGGGCCGCTGCCACCGTCTGTCGGTTGTTGCGTTAGTCAATGGCTGCCTGGTTAGCAGACGGGCGCCGTATGTAGAAAAACACTAGTTATCGCTTTTTTTTTTAACTTTTTACTTGGTTAAGTTCGTTCTTTGAAATTTTTATGCCGCGTTTCCAGTAAATTCGGGCACTCCCGTGGGAAATAATGGTGTGACGGGTTACGCAACCGCTTTGTGCAGTCACTTTAAAGCTTCACCTGGCTTCGGGACCCCGCTGTGGTATAGGATCTTATAGCCCTAGCTACGGAATCAACTGTGGATCGTGAGCGGGCAGCTGTACATGTCCAGGACCTACTCACAAGCACACCAGTGGAGTATTCAGCCGACCAGACAGCCCGGCGAGAAATCATACCATGGAAGTGCTCAAATGTCCCGCCCCCTAAATGAATTTTTTGCTCACGAAACGACTTTATAATGCCTTCCAATCAAATCGAAGCGATTGTTGCTTAAATACCCCATTCCCTGCATTATAGAACTCTTAAAATAAAAGTCGCTGCCAATTTTTTTTTATTTTTTTTATTTTATATGTTCGTGGATTTGATTTTTTGCAAAGTTGTAAATCATGCACATAGAGCTAAATGAGGTGACAAAAGGTAGACTCTTGATTTGTCCGTCCAGGGAGAAGTTTACACAAGGCTATCTTCTGAGTTGTGCACGGCATATAGTACACGAGGTGTGACAGCTTAAATCTTGGAATGCTCTTGTAAATGCTTACATGTTCACTGGCGGCTGTCATCGCCTTCAAGGTACTCTGCTTGTGAAGCTATGGTGTCATTGCCGTAAACATTCTTACAATGTGTTTTTCGAAATACATCGAAGTAACGTTGTCGCGTTGCGCGCGGATGGATATCAGGAACGCCAACAAAACGTTTTTCCTTTGAGGTCGTTTTTAATTTAAGAAAATGCCATATACCGCAGATGTCAAAGTCAGGTGGATAGTGTGGGTGGTCCATTTTTTGTAATAATTTTGTTTAGTCGGGAATTCGAGAACTTTTACGTATCATACGCAGGCGCATTGCCATGATGGAGAATTCACTTGTCGGACCGGAGTCTCCTCTTTTATGGTGCTTGGAACGCGTACCCAAATGTCGGTGTTACCGCGTCCCAAAAAATTGGTCCCTCAGATTCTGCCCGATGACGTCAGAAAAGAGTCACGTAATCACCGGATGTGAACCTGGCAGTGTCACTTCGGCGGTGGTGGACGTGGCAATCAACTGTTCCGCTGCAGGTGACTCTCCAGCTTGACAGCTCTCAAAAGCTTTGCAGCCAAAAGATGGGACGCCACAACGACAACAACACTTGCATTCTTTTGCACTTTTTTTAGATCTTTTTACCAAGAATCGACAGGATCACGATATCCGACAGAAGGACACTCCGACTTTTGTGACGTCATTTGTTACCACTTCGAGACCACTTTCAGTGCGTGGGCGCAATAGGACGAAAAGGAGGCAGGCCGGAAACAGGCTTCAGGCAACACACTTCATCCCCATCGATTCTCATAACCGTGCCAACTCTTTAAAATAAACATGGGTCCACCACGAGAATTGATCCCAGGACCCCAAGTTTCTGAGCCCAAGAGGGAGACTCGTGAAGCAGAAGTTACATGGCTACGCCAAGGGTGGGAAGCGCGTGGGTAAGCGCGTAATCATTGTATGTGACCATACCACGTGGTTCCGACTATTAAGTCACCAACAAGATTAAAACTGGCCGTCGGAGAGTGGGCAAACGAAGGTGACCAACGGATTCTGTTTATGCCGACTACAAACGTAGGATGAAAGTAAACGAGCATTTAGAAATAGGCTTATCAAATTAGGCCCACTAGTGAATACCCACGTGTTCGCTCTTAATATTGCCACAAAAGCTTTAATTTGGGGGATGTTCAACTTGAGAGAATGCTTTGTTTGCTGAAGCGACACGAAGAAAAGCGTTGAATATTTCCCAGTCGTGCAAGTCTCTGCACGACATCGGGAAGTGTTCGATCCCAGAAGCTGGCTTCTCTCCACTTGTACTCTGCTTGAGGTGAAGCATCCTTCCCGACGACGTACTGACAAGCATTGCGTTAGCGTTATTTTTCACGTCTTCCGCGTTGAAACGTTTTATTATTTCGTTCCCGTCACCGTTGTCCTATAACGTTCATTAACCTTGTTTTCGTTACAAACTTTATCCCGCGAGCAAATGAGGCACCGTCTGCCCAATACACGTTGCAGGCGCACTGGGTATGCAACAGCGAAAGATGTAGGCGAATAAGCCTATATTCGGTGACAGGCAAGAGTTCAGGGAGACGGAAAGGAATGCTGAGGAAGAGGGAGGAAGCAGATGGATTGCTGGAGAAGAGGGGGGGGGAATCCTCCTCGCTCCAGCATT